AACTCTTGTGGTCATCCTGATCCTCGTTTATACTCTAGAAATTTAGGGTTTTTTGGGGGGGAGGGTGGGGAAAGGGAATGGACCTATTGCAACAAGAACTCTCAGAAGATTAGTAAGTATAGTGTCCTCCTGAGCTGAAGTACAGCAAAACCCAGATCCCTGGATCTGTTTAGACTTGCATGTTTCAATGGTCTCATGAGCGATAAGATCAGAAATTGTGTATTTTTAAAGATTCTGGGGAAAATTTTGCTGCCTTCAACAAAAAACTTGTTTTGCCTTTTGGCAGGGGATGTACCAAATAATAACTTCTAAGGCCCTAAAATGGATCACATACATTTTGCTTAATTAAAAGTTGTCACTGTGATTATAATTAAAGCTACTTGAATAAATAATCTTTATTTGAAGCTGATAAACATTGGAGGTGTATACTTTTACTCTGCTGTTCCATATTCTGGTATCTTTTTAGTGTCCTAGTGTTTAAAAATATTAGTTGAGCAATACAGAGCGCCTAATTTCTTAAGAAAATGTGATTGATTTAGGCAGTCTATAAGAGCTTCCTTTCTCAACGTATATTTAACTAATAGTTTAAGAGGATGTTGTTACAATTGATTAGTGTCCAATTGACAAAAGATAGTGAGAGGTTAGTAGCGCAGAAGCAATGTCTACTGTTTTCTCTTCAGAAAACTATATTTCCATTGTTTACATGTGATTAAAATCAAACATAGGAATAGATATTTCTAAATATTTTAAGATAAATTCTGATTTCTGCCTTATTTTTTCATTCTTCCAGGCAAGGACTTAGTTTATGATGCTAGGAGGCAGTCACATGCTCAAGAAGTCTGATGGACAAGGCACATGGTGTTAATGTGTTAGCTAAGCTGTTTGAGTGGTTGAAAGAGGCTGGGTCAGCTATTAGATTTTTGGTCTAGACTATGGAGGCTGGATTTAATTTCCAGTTCTAACAAAGACTTTTTGTCTTAGCAAAATGACTTGCTCCTTGTTGCGCAGGTCCCCATGTGGAAATACAGCTTACTCCACAGTGCTTTGGAGGTGGTGTGCAGGTGAATGTTCTCAGTAATATCCCCTTCCTTATTTTGAAAGAGAAAGCAAATCAGTATAAGAGATTATAATAAGGTACTGTAAATAGCCTATAGCTTTAATGTTAACAATGTACAAACAACAAATAGTTGAATTACCCATGCAAGTTTGAAAGTGTATATTTTTTTCTAAAGCATGAGGGAAAATTACCCGAATCAGGACAGTGTGACTGGGTGTCCTGCGGCTACTGTGCAGTGTTGAAGTGCATTGCCATGACTGATTGGACTGCAGTCTTGTAATGAGTACTCCTAGCAAAATACCTACTTAACTGCAATTAGTTTTCTTGTTACAGCTTGAAATGTACCACTTTAAAGTAGAACTACATGAAGTGGATATAGCTGCATTCACCTGTGGATCAGCTACAGAGGTGGGTGGGGGGTATGTTAGCCAGAAGGACGAGGAGAGATTGAGATGACAATATTCTGTTACCTCTGATTTGGGGACTCGCATATGGTCAGGAGAAGCGACTACATCGTCTGATTTACCATTCTGTAACTCTTTTCCCTGGACCTTTACTGTTGTCTCTTGAACAGTATTTTAGAGGCCAAAAAAGGAGCGAGGGAGGGATGGACCAGTACCTTAGTGGTAGTTTCAGAGTGCCTCAATGTTCAGATTGCTGTAGCTGTTAAACTTGCTGTGCCAGAAGTTTCAGTCAACACTTTTAAAATAGAGAAGCCCCCCCCCCCCCGGCTTATACAACAGTTGATGGTGCCAGATTTTTAATAATATGCACATAGGCTAACATCACAGTAGGTTTGAGAACAATAGTTGAGTCACTTCCTCATTGTGTGCCTGCCAAGGCCTAGTACTAGCTGCTGGATTTTCATAGTAACAGGTGACATCATTCCTGCCTAACTCTCTGAAAGGGTAGGAGCTCCCTGGGGTGTAACTAGCAGTCACCTGGTGCAGAAGTACAAATAGCTTGCAGTTGTTGTAGTTTCTGGGTTTTCTGGCTTGTAAAGTCTGTGTTTTCTTTTAACTTCATTACTGTTCAGCAATCCAATTTTTTATGAGCACCCAAAAACTAATTTGATGAAACTTGTCAACTGATGTGTATAATAATGTGTTGTGGCTCTTTTGAATAGACTGATAGAAATGGACCTGTGAATGCCTGGTATTCCTGCTTCTAAGAAATTCAGATTAACTTAAGGCTTTGGCATTCCACCTGTCCCATGATCAGTTACAAGTTATCTTCATATTTTGTAAAAATGGCACTATCTATTTAAAATGGATACTTATCTTCAAACATCTGTGGAGATGCTATTACACAGTGAGCTGATTGGATTTGGGTTCATCATACTAATGGGTTGTTGTATGCCACTGCAATTTCTTTGGGTTTTTTTTCCTTTTTCCCCTTTACTTCTTTTCACATTCTACACTGATGGTTTCTCTTGGCTGATCTTTCTATTAAAAGCCAGTACTTGGAGGTAACATCATGTTGTGGTTTAACCCCAGCCAGCAACTAAGCACCATGCAGCTGCTCACTCACTTCCCCCCCACCCAGTGGGATGGGGGAGAGAATTGGGGTGGGGAGTAAAACTTGTGGGTTGGGATAAGAACAGTTTAATAGAATGGAAAGGAAGAAAATAATAATGACAATAATAAAAGAATTGGAATATACAGAACAAGTGATGCACAATGCAGTTGCTTACCCCTCACTGACGGATGTCCAGTTAGCTCCTGAGCAGTGATTCCCCCTCCTGGCCAGCTCCCCCCAGTTTATATACTGGGCATGATGTCACATGGTATGGAATATGCCTTTGGCCAGTTCAGGTCAGCTGCCCTGGCTGTGTCCTATGCCAACTTCTTGTGCCCCTTCAGCCTTCTTGCTGGCTGGGCATGAGAAGCTGACAAATCCTTGACTTAGTCTAAACACTGCTTAACACAGCTATGTTTTCAGTTGTTGCTATCAACATTCTTCTTATACTAAATCCAAAACATAACACTATAGTGGCTACTAGAAAGAAAATTAACTCTATCCCAGCTGGGATAGAGTGAAACCAGGGCACATGAATAGAAAGTCATACCATTTAGACTGGGTTTTGCAAATGCACCGCATTTCATTTGAAGATAATGAAACAAAGTGCTATTGAGTCCAGTTCCTTACTGCTGAGGGCAAGTGTGAAGTGGCTTACACTTACTTTTAAATTTAACTCTTGCAATTGGCTGTTAAATTTCTATGTGCAATGCTGAAACTAGTTGGCATCGAATCTAAATGAGACTTTCAGAGAAGTAAGCTCGTTTTGATTTTCTTATGAGTTGCAGCTTTAAAACGCTACAGCAACTATTTTTATCAAATTTCTTTTAATAAAGATTTAGCATTCTTCTCACTGTGGACAGCTTTCTCATGTCTTGTCAGAGAATTAAGTTACAGATACCAGCTAAACTGCATTAAAAGTCTAAGTGCAAAAGAGTTATTAAAATACTGTCTTGATAGACAAAGGCCTTGAGTGATTCTTATGCTCCCATTGATTAGCTAGTTAAAACTTTCAGAAATAAGTATTTATCTAACCTTGTCTAACCCAATACCTTTAGAAACAATTGGGAGTTTTAATACATCTGATGGTTTTGCTTTGATAGGGAAGCTACCTCACAGCACTTGTCCCAGATGTTTTCTTAATATTGTGCTAATCATTGCAGTCACTGTGGTGGTCCCTCTCCCACCTTTTTCCAGTCAAAGTTAATGTGGATTATGGACTGTATGCTTATTCTCTTGGATTTTAGCGAGATCTTGCTAGACAGGTCAAAGAATCAAGTGATTGAGTGAACAGGGTTTTGGAGTAGGTGGGGATCTAGCCATCTTGGGGGTTCTTGACAGCTTCATGTTAAGATGCTGAAGCTTCCTTGTGGCTGTTAGTCTGTAGAGATGCAGCTGTGGAATTAAACCCAAACACCTGTGAGGCCCAAGGGGCAACAGCTGCTCTAGCCATGCCAAAATCTGATTTGTGATATTCACACTTCGTGATGCTCCTGCCTGGTGGTAAACACACTGTACTCAGTATTGCCAAAAAGGAGTTATTTTTAACTTGAGAAGGACTTGATGTGTAAAAAATGCTGACACAGCACCAAATGTTGCAGAACTTCATGGTTCTGGCAGTTAAGTGTATTGTCAGTGGAAAGAGCACACCTGTTCTGTGTGTGCTGTGTTGGCACACTTGATCTCTGAAGTGTGTTGCTCTGAAAACTTGAGCTGTGTTACTAGTTTTGATGGACTTTTACAGTTTTCTGGGGTAACTTTAGCATCATTTTTTAAAGGAAATCATATCGTAGCTAAACCAAATTTAAAGTAATGCAATAGTGACTGTCATACCTGATGTATTTAAGTGTGTTTCTTTGATTGTAATATGGTTGGTACATCTTGAACAAACAATACTGCCTGGAGAGTTAGACACTCTGCTGAAAACCAGTTTCTGTTATTTCTTGCACTATTTCAATTTTTTTTTTCTAAATTAGGCTTATATGACAGCAGGTTTCTCAGTTACCTGCTCTCTATTGTCCAAGTGTCATGAAGTCGTGCTTCTGATACCTTGGCAGAAGGAGAAACATTGAATTGGTGGATAGACAACAGCAGAAATGGGTGGGGAAAGTCCTATACAATAAAGAACCTGGTTTTGGCAGTAAAATGAAGGATGAAAAAACAATGTTTGATACTGCTGGAATTGCCTAAATGGAATTTCATGTGTTGTGTAAAACTGTATGGAAAAATGTGTTCTGCAGAAAAGCAATCTCCTTTTGTTAACTTTCTTCTACTTATCAGTTGTAGTGTAAATAATCCTGTAAAATAGGAGCTAATGAAGCAAATATTGATTATATAACTGGTATGTGAAACTGGTGTTTCAGTTCTTACCAGCATTTTTCTTTCCTTTTGAGATTTTCCAAATTAAACACAAGTTTTTGCTTTGAGGAGTAGGGGTTACTGTCTTTGGCTTTATGTTTTGGAGTCTGTGTTCATTGTATAACTTAAGCACTGACCTCGTATTTCAGGTTAATGGACCTGATGGCATTCTACAGAATGGAGCTGTGGATGATAATGTGGCTAAAACCAGCCAGCTTCTGGCAGAATTGAATTTTGAAGAAGATGAAGAAGATACGTATTACACAAAGGATCTTCCTGTGCATGCTTGCAGGTAAGACCTAATCTTTGCCGCGGGCTTATTATTTCCAGAGGGCAGGAGCGCTTCGTGTGAGTGAAGGGTGTATGCTTAGAGGATTTTTTGGATTGTGAGAGCAAATTCCTTGGAGACATCTATGTACTGGTAGGAAGATAGTGCCCTCTGGTGAGTTCTTGTGTACGCTTACAGCTGCCAGGTCCAGCAGGTCTTTGACCTCCCTTGAGGAACAGGAGGCTAAGCCAACATAGAGATGGTAATGGTGAGAAGTGTTAAAATACTTGTGACTCAGAAGTTTACCTCGTATCTGATGCTTTTACCAACACTTGTGTTCCCTAATTTTCACTTTCCCTTATTTTTGTACACTACTACGTAGTTTAAATCTTGTATTTGAATTTTCCTATAAGCAAGTACCTAATCACTTCCTGTTTTTTCATTTTTAATTCCAGTTACTGTGGTATCCATGACCCTGCTTGTGTGGTTTACTGTAACACCAGCAAAAAGTGGTTCTGTAATGGGCGTGGAAATACATCTGGCAGGTAAATGGTCAAATGATGGAAATAACAATGACAGTCTTGTTTTAGAATGTGTTTGTTTTGAAGTGGTGCGATGGCTGTGACTTACATTTTGGTGATAATTGAAGTCTAGCGACTTAAATGTGAGCCTCCAACCTCCTCTTTAGCTTTTATGCTGTTGTCAACTTAGACCTCGATCTCAGCAAAGCTTGAATCACTTCTGTGAAATGATCTTGCTGCGTCTTCCCTCATCCTGTCTTCCTCCAAAGCACAGTAGAACTGATGCTCTTGACCAATGGAGTTTTTGGAGGCTTCTTTCAATTACCAGTAACATAAAAAGAATTTTTTAGGCATTCCTTATTCTTTCACACTCATCTACCCTAAAAACACTCATGTGCTGAGAAATCATTGAAACTGTGTTAGCAGTCTTTGCTTGGATGAAAAGAGCAAGATCTTACCAATGTCTGCCACAGTGTAAATAGATTTTGTTTGTGTCTTTTAGTAACTGAGCTGATATATTAAGTTAGGACTAAATGTGATTTTCCTATTAACTTCATATAAATGTATGTCCTCTCTGGTTTCAGCCACATTGTTAATCATCTTGTGAGAGCAAAGTGCAAAGAGGTGACTCTTCATAAAGATGGACCTCTAGGAGAGACTGTCTTGGAATGTTATAACTGTGGATGTCGTAATGTGTTTCTCCTTGGCTTTATTCCAGCTAAGGCAGACTCTGTGGTTGTTTTGCTGTGCAGGTGAGAGAATGCCTTTGTTGGCATGTTTGTGTCAAGTCTGTTGCATAACCTTATTTCTAAAGGGCAAGGCTTGCTTTCATTTTGTACCAAAATATATTTTATACTCTAATTTGCCACCATTTTTCCTTTAGGGGATTGTACAGACTTCATGAATTGTATACAAGTAGATAATGCAATAAAGGGAAATCCTCTTATGCTAGGCAAATGTCTTAGTTCTATAGAAAAGTATTTCTCCCAAATGAAACAGTCCTTAATGGAAGAAAGGTGTGTTTCTCCCTTTTTAAAGTGGGATTTTCAGTTTTGGAAGAGTAACAGATCAGTTCAGGAAATTACTCTGGAGCCCTACTGGAGTAGTGACTGTATTACACAGTATGTTTTTCTGTCATCTCGTAGAATCATTTGAAGATGACAGTAGATTGGAAATTGTTCTCTGACAGGTTCTGTCAGAAATCATGATTTTATAATTGCATGTATTTTAATTAAATGCTGTCACTTACCGTGTATTTGACAGTAGGTGTGTTTCTATGGAATGAGTTCTTCTATTTGTTTAAACAACGGATGGGAAGTAATCCCAAGTGTTTTCTGATATATTGTATGTGTGCATAGTCTCAGTGGACTGTAACCACTTTCAAAGGTGAGTGTCATATTTAATATTTTGGATGCTGAAATTTTCAGTTCTAGAAACACCCAATAAATACAACTTACGATGCCAAGCCTTACCAGTTTTGAAATGGCAAATATAGGAATTAAAAAAGAATTGGCCCAGCAGGTTAGGGTTGTTTTGTTTTTTTCCTTTTAAATGAGATACTTGAGTTGTTCTAAGAGCATGATAAACCTATTTTTACACTTCACATGGTAGACTTTTTCTTACACTTGTCTAATTTAAAATTTTTTTCAATATTTTGGTTGTGCAGGCAGCCATGTGCCAGTCAGAGCAGTTTAAAGGATATTAATTGGGACAGTTCACAGTGGCAGCCTCTTATCCAAGATCGCTGTTTCCTTTCGTGGCTGGTAAAGATTCCATCTGAACAGGAACAGTTGAGGGCACGTCAGATTACGGCTCAACAGATTAACAAACTGGAAGAACTTTGGAAGGTATGTGCTGCTTCTCAAATTCCAGTTATGTTTTACCAAGTGCCAATTTTGTGGGTTTTATGAAGGAAGGGCAAGACTGTTTTAGCAACTGTATAAGGCAGGGAATTTACTCAAATCAGATGAGGTTTAAATCCTGCAGATTTGACAAGCAATGCAACTGGGAATTGATCAAAGGATTCAGGAGATCATTTATCAAAGTAGGAAAGTTTCACCCTTAGGTTCTTCAGCTCTGTTCAAGTTGCACTGTCAGGCAATCTGAAAAAACATCTTTCCTTCCCTATATGAAGTCCTTCACTTGTTTCTGCTTTATGTGATGACTAGCTGAGTGGGGAACTGTTAGTCCATGCTTGGTATTCCATTACTGCTTTTTGGGAGGTTTTTCTGTACATCCTTTAAAGCATAACAAACCTGACTGAATGTGAGTGAGAATGACATATAATGTCTTGGTGTAGTTCTAACAAGTGGTTATACCTTGATATAACTTCTGTAGTAGTAAAATACGGTATTGGTAGTCCTGTTACACAGTGAGAGATTGTCACTTGTCTGTACTTAAAGCTTTGAAACAAAACATTTATGGTTTAAATTCTAGGAAAATCCATCTGCAACCCTTGAGGACTTAGAAAAGCCTGGTGTTGATGAAGAGCCACAGCATGTCCTGCTTAGATATGAAGATGCTTATCAATACCAAAATATATTTGGTCCTCTAGTCAAGCTTGAGGCAGACTATGACAAGAAACTCAAGGAGTCTCAGGTAATATGCTTGCAATATGCCTGTTTGAGGAGGCTTCTGACTAGTTCTCTGGTATCAAACACATGGTCACTGTCAGCAGCATAGAAGGATGGCTCAAGTGAAATAAATGTCTTAATTACAGTACTACTACATCGCAGTAGTTACAGTAGTAATGATGATGTTTGACAGCAGGAAGAGGAAAGAAAAATCCTCAAACTGAGGTTTTAAAAAAGAGCTTGAAACACTTGCGAACTTCCATCTTTTCTGTGTTCAAAGTTTATCTTTCCAAGAACCATGTTCTATTGTAGAACTGTGCAACTTGGCCACCTTCTTTTATGTTATCCTCATAACCTGCAGTTACCTTTGTCAGTCAGAGTTTCCAATCAAACTTGAATTATATGAGGTCATGCAAGCACTTAGTGAATGTTTTAAAGGTGGGGGGGGGAGAAAATAAAGCAGGTGGTGATTAGGATTTTGTTTCTCATTAACTCTTGTAGAACAGAATTATCTTCTGCAGATGATGTGAACTCAGTCCATAAGAATAAATACAGATATTTGTCTATACAGTGATATTGAACAGCAAGTTTTGTGTTTCCCCGCTATTTTGAAGTATAGGACAGTGAGGACCCTGGTAGTTGGCAAACTGCTCTTTAAGAACATAATAGATGCCTTTTCTTTGCCATTAGACCCAAGATAACATCACAGTCAGATGGGACCTGGGCTTGAACAAGAAAAGAATTGCTTATTTCACTTTGCCAAAGACTGATTCAGGTAATGACAGCTTGATTGTATGTTTTGTCTGGGTTTTTTTTATGCCTGGTGAATAGCATCAGTGTTTAAAGAACTGTGATGATCTGGCCTGGGATGTAAAATAGTACTGTAAGTGTTCTGTGTTGGGGGATGATTGTTCATTGGTGAACATTTTTAAGAGCATTTTTTCCTTCCTTTGTAGATATGCGTCTTATGCAAGGAGATGAGATCTGCTTGAGGTATAAAGGAGACCTGGCCCCTTTATGGAAAGGAATTGGTCATGTTATCAAAGTTCCTGATAGTATCCTTTACTTAGTGAGCCTTCAGGAAGGCTTAATCCAAGGTTGAAGTCTCTCCAAGAAATCAGTAAACGTGTACAAAAGTAATTTTGAGATAATTTTAATTTGTCGTGGGGATTTGCTAGGAAAAAAAACCACCCAAAACCAAAAATCAAAATTGGGAAAAATAAAATTCAAATTTTTGCTATAGATTACTACTTAACGAGGTTCTACAGATTATGGTGATGAGATAGCCATTGAACTGAGGAGCAGCGTTGGAGCGCCTGTGGAAGTTACTCATAACTTCCAAGTAGATTTTGTATGGAAGTCTACTTCATTTGACAGGTATTGAGAAGGCACTTCAAAACTTGGCAGATAGTGGGTGCAGTTGGTGTATATATCTTCCTTTACCTTCAGTGAGAATTTTTGAACAAGAAAAGCTGTATTGTTTCATGACACCAGCAATCAGAAATCCGAGTGTGCCCAATGTATCAAGTCTATGAACATGTGATATCTGGTTCATAAAGCAACAGGCCTAACTTTTACTAGAAATAGAATTAACCTGAATGCTATCAAATTGTCGATTTTTCTCATTTTGAAGGCACATCTGAGGTTTCTTGCAAATACATCAGGGAGGGAAATTTACCTTATGTTTAGTAATACTTGGAATATAGGAAGAAAAACTGTTTTGTAGTTCGGCTTCCTGAACACTGGTCCATCACGAAGTGTTCTCTGATTTTAGTTGGTATTCCTAAACTTTGAATTGCTTTAACTAGCTGAAATTCCAAGACATTTGAATCAGCTGTGAGGTCAATAGACTTCAGATATGCCTGTACTGCATTTTGTAAGATAGGAGTTTGTTTATTATCCTGAAAGAGATACACTGAGTACAAATTTTCTTCCAATCTTGCACCTAGAATTACTATTGCAGATTCTGTCAGAGGCTGGTGTTTCTCTACAGGTTTTTTCTGGTTATAATACTTCGTAGTATTCACATGGGGAAAAACAAGATCTGTGTTCTCGGAGTCTAATTTTTGTCTCTTAATTCTGTTAGTATTCTACATTGTTCTCTTGTCCCAAGGTATATTTTAATTTGTGCCTGATGTGTAATTAACCTTTGTGTAGGACACTTGTGGATAGTTGTATTTGAGGTCATACTGATTTTTTTTTTTTTTCCCCCTGTCCTTCCCTCATTTCAGAATGCAGAGTGCTTTAAAAACATTTGCTGTGGATGAGACTTCAGTGTCTGGGTACATCTATCACAAACTGTTAGGTCATGAGGTAGAAGATGTAATTATTAAATGCCAGTTGCCAAAGCGCTTTACAGCACAAGGACTTCCTGATCTCAACCATTCTCAGGTAACCTCATCTCCTTTTTACTACACACAAAGAATATGATAAAGGATGTATGAATAGAGGTTGTAACTTCTTATGCATTGAATGCTAAATAGCAATAAAAATTTTTTTAATAGGTTTATGCTGTGAAGACTGTCCTGCAGCGTCCTCTGAGCCTTATTCAGGGTCCCCCTGGTACCGGAAAAACAGTGACATCAGCCACAATTGTCTATCATCTGGCTAGACAGGGCAATGGGTAAGAACTATTCTCTCTAAGTCCTTATGTGTGAGGCTACTTTATTAATGATTGAAGAATCAACTTGATTTAAAAAAATCAAAATAACTTGTATCATTGAACTAAAGGTTTTCTAGAAGTATATTTTTCTGGGGAGACTTGTGCTTATTTCGGAAAATATTCTTCCCCAGCATATTTTTTAAGGGATGTGTTGTAACACATGATTTTATTACAAGTCTAATGGAAAAAAGTATACAGCTCATTGAGACTTACTTTTTGCTTAATCTTTTTCAAGGCCTGTGTTAGTCTGTGCTCCGAGTAATATAGCTGTAGATCAGTTGACTGAGAAGATCCATCAAACTGGACTGAAAGTGGTTCGTCTGTGTGCTAAAAGTCGTGAGGCAATTGACTCTCCTGTATCCTTCTTGGCATTGCATAACCAGATCAGAAACATGGATAGGTAAGAAATGGTTGAGGGGGGCAGGGGAATGAAAAAACCAACTTAAGTGTTGTGATGGACACAGCTGACTAACTGTGTAATGATGACAGCATGTATTTGCTTGATGTGATAACTTTTTTGGTTCTATACATGTGTCGTATTTAGTTTTACAAGTGAATTTCAATCTAATCCTACCAAGTTGTTAATTAAGCCATAAAGCAAAATTCCTTTTATTTTTTTTGTTTTTCCCAGCATGCCAGAGCTTCAGAAACTGCAGCAGCTTAAAGATGAAACTGGAGAACTGTCATCTGCTGATGAGAAACGTTACCGTGCACTGAAACGAACAGCAGAGCGTGAATTACTTATGGTAAGGTTCCATTGGGTCTAGCAGCTTAAATAATTGCCTTCTCCCACTTGAGGCTTAGTTGCAATTTGCTGGTGGAGATCAGAGTACAATTTAACTTTTGGGGGGATTCCTGGAATGGTATTGAATACTCTTCCATGTAGAAATATTGTGTGTTGGTATCCTACTTGATTAATTTCAGTTTCATTTCTGTCTCAGAATGCAGATGTGATCTGTTGCACATGTGTGGGAGCTGGTGATCCAAGACTTGCAAAAATGCAGTTCCGCTCCATTCTGATTGATGAAAGCACACAGGCTACTGAGCCAGAGTGCATGGTGCCAGTTGTCCTGGGAGCAAAACAGGTAGGAGCCATTGGATTTCTTCAAAGAAAATTTCATTAAAGAAAGAGTTTATAAATAGAGGAAGTAGCATTGAGCAATAACATTCACGGTGTAGGCATGCAGGAGTACAAAATTCTTTCCTTTCGTGGAAAACGCTTCCATAATATAGATCTAAATGACTTTATTTTGTGTTAGTCCTGTTAGTTTTCTGTTTCCATGGCATAATCTTTGCCTAGAACATGTTGGTCCTGCTGGAACAATCTGGAGACTGAGTAAGATTTTATTCAGAAATGATGAGCTGAAAAGCTAGTTGACACTAAAAGTTTATAAGCCTTAGATTAGATCTGAAGCTTCTTAAAAGTCAGACTGATTAGTTCCTAATATATTTTATAGTAGGATATTGCTATTGTTTCTAGCTATTGGACAAGTTTCAGAAAACAAACTTAGATATCTACAAACTTTCTTTTCCACAGCTTATTCTTGTGGGTGACCACTGCCAGCTTGGTCCTGTTGTGATGTGTAAAAAAGCTGCAAAGGCTGGCCTATCTCAGTCTCTCTTCGAGAGGCTTGTGGTGCTGGGGATTCGTCCAATTCGCCTGCAAGTGCAGTATCGCATGCATCCTGCACTTAGTGCTTTTCCATCCAATATCTTCTATGAGGGTTCACTCCAGAATGGTGTTACTGCAGGTAAGCAAGAATGGTACTCCTGCAAATTACTTTCTTTGCCATTCATTAAGGATCAAAGGAAGGATTCTTTAATCTAGATGAGTTTGTTAATACATTAGCTAAAAAAGAGAATTGCCACTGCACTTACTTCTGAGTCTTTAAGGTGCTTTGATATGAAAGTGAGTGTTCTTGCTAGTTAAGCAGTGCTAACTTTTTTTACTGTTTTTGTGCTCTTCAGCGGACCGTGTGAAAAAAGGGTTTGATTTCCAGTGGCCACAGCCAGATAAGCCAATGTTTTTCTATGTTACACAAGGACAGGAGGAAATTGCCAGCTCAGGCACCTCTTACTTAAACAGGTAAACAAAATTCAACACTGAGATATAAACTTACACTGGGACGAAGTATTTTTAAATATCTCAAATGTAAGGGAGATTGTTAAATGAAACTATTAATAATCCTGTGACACCCCTTGGAGACAGTCACAATTAAATGAAGTCAAGGGAAAGTGCAATATACAATTCCTGCTGCAGACCAAATATCTTGGCATTTCTCTATCCTTCAGAATCTCTGCAACAAAATTCATAGTATTCTGTAGTCACTGTGACTTGTGGTGCCTTGCAATGTGAATAAAGGCATAAGAGCTAAATAAAGGGCTTGTGTTTTTGAAGAAGAGCTACTTTCTGTTTCTATGCAGGGTGGTATCTGTACTTCAAATGAGCCAACCCACAGACCTCAGATGTGTTGTGTGCTGGGATACAGTACTTCGGTGCTATTGATTCTTATGTTCTGCAGTAGTTCTTCTAAATTAATAAAATGCTGTTTCCTATTAACAGCTATGATTGAAATTGCTTGTATGCTTTTTTTTTAATAAAAGCTGCCATCAAGGATAGTGCAGGCTGAGCTGCATTTCAGACTTGATTTGCCCTAGGCTCCCTTTACAGTAAACAAAGAGAAAAAGGCATCTCCAGAGGGAGCAGTTCAGAACTTAAGTGTGTTTGAATTGTTCTGTGGAGGCGCGTGTTTTCCTTCACTGGTAGTATAAGGAGCACGGGACAATTAAGTGCCTAATACGTTGGATGAATTTGGGCCAGCAAGTAAACTGACTGCAGTTGCAGCAGGAAATACTGATTAGGTTGCATTTTTGAAGCCAGAATTCCAATTCCAGAAGCAGAGTCCTAAGTCTTAGATTTTGGTGGGGGTGTGAAAGGGAGGGGAATTCAAATTTCTTTTTTGTATCCCTTTTTTCTGCATATTCCAACTTCTTTTTCAAAGAATGAGCCTAAAACGCTTTGCTCCTCTTGGTTGTATGCATTCGTTCATGGGCCTGGAAGGGAAACCAGACCAACTTATGAAAAATATCTGCTGTGATATTTTTAATCTCAGTCTGTTTCATGAACAGCATGTGCAAGACTGCTGAATGCAGCAAGCCAGATTGTGCACAAACAAATGGCATGATAGTTGGCTGACAGGGAGATTGGCATTAAAAACATTCTATATTTAAAACTTTAAGATAAAGCAACCGAAGGATCTGTTTGCACAGCAGGCTGGAACACTTTTAATGATCTCGCTCATAAAAGTACACGTGTACATTTAACTCTACTAAGAAGTTCCATTCGGAATGATGGCCACCATGAATTTTGCTATTCCAGGAAGTCTAGTTGTGTAGTTCTGAGAAGGTGGAGGTATATGTAAGGAGAAATTTCTGTGTCATTCTGAGACCTTCTTTTGAGAAGTTGGCTTTTGCCCATATTCCTCTGGCTGTGAATATCTGTGTATGGCCTAAGTTAAGAGGTGGTAATGGTGAATGTTCCTGCAAAGCTTAAGCTGTATTAATCTGAGTGCTTGAAGAGTCTAAAACTGGTCTTTTTCTTGAAGTAGCCTTTCTGACAAAACACTAGCAAGGCATATATGTTCAAGTTTTTTAGACCCATTAACTTGCAAAAAGTTAGCCCTAATGCCTTGGTTCTCCTTAGATAAACAAATCTGTCTTTCTAGGACGGAAGCTGCCAATGTGGAGAAGATAACTACAAAGCTATTGAAAGCTGGTGCCAAACCAGATCAGATTGGCATTATTACTCCTTATGAAGGTCAACGATCCTATCTGGTGCAGTACATGCAATTCAGTGGTTCCTTGCATACAAAGCTTTACCAGGTACGGAGTCATTGCACAAATGAGAACACTTGGATGCAGAGAAGCTAGAAAAGTCAGATATTGTGAAACTTCACAATGTTTTCACTTTTAGTCTGGCTTCTTAGGCATCAGTCTGTGTTTATTCTTCAGTAATTTTTGAGTTTAGCTGATTGTGGTTAAAATAGACCAGGGAGAAGAGTTTAGGCGGTATCAAATGCCAGTAAGTGTCAAGGGAGCAGTTGGCCAGATAAAAGAGAAAGCCCTGTTGAGGTCTCTGTTGAAAGGAAGGTTTCAGTGAGTCTGTCATCTGAGGACTCATTGAGGCGCAGAAGGGAGAGGTCATGAGTGCTTCAGCTGTGGAAAAGCTTTAGCTTGTATCTTAGATAAAAACATCGTGCCAAGAGATGCAGGAAACCAAGCTCCATAAATTCTGATGGTCATACTATTTATTTACTGGAATTCTTCTACCAAACATTAAAATCTGTTGCTACAAACAAGATGGTTGTATGTTTAATATAGTCTGTTTTGCAATATTGAGAACTTGGTCAATGTTTTCACTGAAGGAAAACTTGGTGGAAATACTCTTACTTCTGCCAGGAATGATCTGTCCCTCTGATTCAGGTTTCTTGGTAGCTGGGAGCAGCAATGCTAATTTGGACCTGTCTTACTACGAGGTTTTGGAATAGTCAGAGGTCTTTTTGGCAACATACCTAGAAAAGGGATGCTTTCCATAGTGCAAATGCCAGTTTTAGGGAAATATGAGAATCATAAAGCAGTGAACATAAAAGTAATTTGTCCTAAACTGAGACTGTCTGTTCTCCTTTAGGGAAACTATTTAGTCACTAGTGGAATTACCAAATCATTCGTCATAAGAAAAATAACATTTTTGTCAAATGATTGGCACTGCTAGTGCATGGCCAATGCATTTTGTAATGCCTGTTGGTAGCATAGCTGTTTTGCACTGTGCTTCCGTGATTTACATGTTTTCCTCTGTTTCAGGAAGTGGAAATTGCAAGTGTGGATGCCTTCCAGGGCCGAGAGAAGGACTTTATTATCCTTTCTTGTGTGAGGGCCAATGAACACCAAGGAATAGGGTTTCTGAATGACCCCAGGCGTCTTAACGTAGCTCTTACAAGAGCAAGGTAAAATAAAATTGGGCAAATTTTTCTATTCTAGAGACCTAATTCAGTCTGCTAAAGCATCGATACAGTCTGACTAACAAAAAGTCTGTGTTTTATGGGTAGCGGGCCCATTCCCTGCTGCACCTCGTTTAAGGAAGCCTTGAATGATTTCCCCATTCCCTACAATTTAAAAGAGCAATTTCAACCTAATCAGTGTTACCATTTGGCATCAGTAGTTTGTAGAAGCTGCTGTGTCATTCCCCTTTGTTTGCAGGACAGAAGTCTTCCCTTCATCTGCTGCTTCATCCTTTCCAGCAACCTTTTTTTACCATTTTGCTTCTCTTAATGGATTTGATTACTGAGAAGGGTAATGTGGAATCAACACTATATTGGTTGGTTTCCTTGGTTTCTGCAAGCTTTCAGACCAATACAGGGTGGTGGTTGGTTGAGTACACTGATGTGTTTGGCAAGCCTGCAAAAGGAAGCTTGTGATGATTGAGAAACTGGCTGCAGCAATCTCTTTTCAAGTGTTTTGTCACACTACAGAAATCATCTGCTGTAAACAAAACAATTGTCAGGGTCTCCTAAACCTACCATCGTGGACTTCTGTTAGGTGCCTTGATTTACTGTAAAAAAAGAGATAGACTTTGAGGCTGTTCTGACATTAAAAATAAAGCTATGTTACATATTACTCAAAGTTAATTTTAGTTTTTCTCTTTGTCTGTTGTTGTACAGGTATGGAGTAATTATTGTTGGGAACCCAAAAGCACTGTCTAAACAACCACTTTGGAATCACCTGCTGAATTACTACAAGGAGCAGAAGGTTCTGGTGGAGGGACCACTGAATAATCTCCGGGAAAGCCTTATGCAGTTTAGCAAGCCCCGGAAACTTGTCAATACCATCAACCCAGTAAGTTGACCTCTCCTGTCTCTCAGGTGTTTGTGGTGTGAAGCAATTGGGGGTTGATTGACCAACTATAAATGGATGGAATAAACAGTCACCCACATAGCCTCACACACCCACAACTTTCCATTTTTGTTGCCTAGTTAATGCAGTGTGACCCAATTAAGTTGCTGCTTCAGCTGTTTCTAAGTTGAGTGCTTGTAGAAAAGCCTTTTTGGTGCTTTTTTTTATTGCTCTTTATTTACTGCAAAATTTTATGAGGGTGTAACTTCTGAGGTGAATGAAACGTAAAGTAACTGTTTTGTGTAGAAATGGCAAGCTCATTAGGCATGTGTACTTAATAGCATTGTACTCTAATCCTCAACCTGCAAGTTTTATACTTAGTCCTTTAAGTAGTTATTGGGGAGAGAAGCTTGTCAGCTATCACAGAAGGACAGTGGTAGGAATAGAGTAAGGGGAGAACTATCATAAGAACCTCAAAATAGACTGAAAATTCACCAAATGTTTCACAATTTGAGATAGGCTGCCTGTAGGATCTTTATTACTTTATCTTGTTGTCATGATGTAGTTGAAATACTAGTGGTGTGTTTTCCAGCACTTGTAAAGTATGCATGATCTGTGGAGTTTTACTGGATTTTTACCTGAAATAGCTTACACTGAAGCTGCAGTGCAAAGTTTTCTATGCAAAGGCTTTGTCTAACTCCTATAATGCTTCCAGGGTGCCCGTTTCATGACTACTGCCATGTATGATGCACGTGAGGCTATTATTCCAGGATCTGTCTATGACCGGAGCAGTCAAGGTAAAGGAAGCTGTCAAAATTAACACCTTTATAGATTTACTTTTTTTCCCCAACTAGTTCTTGGGGTGTGGTATCTTACAGATATCAAACTTCTAAATGTTTGAAGAGCCACTACAGAAAAATATGGGATTTAAGAACTGAAGAGGTTTGTGATCTGCCTGGATTTTGCTCTCTGTATGTAGAAGCCCCTACAGTCTAATGTGATGTCTGCAGAGCAAATGAAAAATGAGAGGGAAAGGGAGTGTGTGTAAGCATTTCAGGAATCTTAGATGGTGCTGTAAAAGAGTAACTTTGTAGGGACGAGCATGTGTTAGATGAGTCTCTGACATTTTCAAGTGTGGAATAAATGATGAACTAGAAATATTGGTGGTTCTTGGCAGCGGTAGGCTTGTCCTTTCAATTTTTGATCCTGATTTATCCTGCTCACAAGTCCTCCCAGTACTGTTAAAAGCAGGAATGTTAATTGATTTTTAAATATTCGGTATGCCTGAAATCACTGTGGCTTTTCCTCCCCTCCCCAGGGCGCCCATCCAACATGTACTTCCAAACCCATGACCAGATCGGGATGATTAGTGCTGGCCCCAGCCATGTCGCTGCTATGAACATTCCTATCCCTTTCAACCTTGTGATGCCACCGATGCCACCACCGGGATACTTTGGCCAGGCTAACGGACCAGCCGCAGGTACAGGGGCAAGGGTAAAGCAGTACAAAAGCCATGTTTTAGGTCTGAAGTCGAAGAATGGCTTTTGTTACTCTCGCAGCAGTGCTGATGAGAGTAGATGTGCTTCAGTAATAAGTCTTAGTTGTATGGAGTACAAACCCGACAGCACTGCAGCCTCCAGTGAGTGTCCCTTTGCCAATGCCTACGCTGGTGGTTCCGCCTTTTGATTTCTCTGCACCTGCTATCTTGAGTACATATAAAATGTTGCCTCTTGCGAGTGATCAAGTCTTTATAGAAACAGTTAATTCTCATGTGTTTCCATGTGTCAGACTTCTCACTGTTGGTTGGGATGAATGCTTTTGCAGGACGTGGGGCGCCAAAAGGGAAGACTGGTCGTGGTGGGCGCCAGAAAAATCGTTTTGGGATTCCTGGAACTAGTCAGTCAAACCTTCCAAATAGTCAAGCGAGCCAAGATGTGGTGTCCCAGCCTTTCTCCCAGGGTCCACTGACTCAGGGGTATATCTCCATGAGTCAGCCATCACAGATGAGTCAGCCTGGGCTCTCCCAACCAGAATTATCACAGGTAAGCAGAATTTTGATGTGTAGTCTGCTCTTTTTCCTGGGTATTGTGTCGGTGATCTGTGTGTATGCACATCCTTGTTTCCTAGTACTGAGGAAAATGGAAACTAAAGCCATTTTCAATGGCAGCCACAGCATTTCATACTCCTCCACTTGGTGGACTCTCTAAGTACACTCAGGCATAGAAGTGAAATGCTACATGTATCAACTTCAACTTGAGCCCTAACTTTGAACTGCTTGCCTATTCAACAGCCAGCTATTGCAAAAGCCTTTGTATTTGTGGAAATTCTGCAGCAAAAAGAGTAGATTTTTAAAAAACTAAAACACAACCAAACAAAAAAAATCCCCCAACAAAACAAAACCTCTCAGACTTTATCATTAATCATGGCTGCCAGGTATTCTGCTTTGTAAGGGAGCACTTGAACTTGATAATGAGTTAGACGCTTAACACACACTTTCATTTTCAGGACAGTTACCTTGGTGATGAGTTTAAATCTCAGATTGACGTGGCGCTGTCACAGGACTCTACTTACCAGGGTGAACGTGCATATCAACATGGTGGAGTGACGGGACTGTCACAGTATTAGAGTGTAAGGCACTTGAGGTTCACTCCTCTGCTTCTTACTCCCTGATTTAAGTTCATGAACACAGTGTTTGCCTTAAGAGTGATATCCCTAATGCAACTGTTGTTTTGCTTTCTTGCTTTCAGGTTGAGGAAGAAGAGCTAAGCTTGTGTGGAGCTTAGTTCATCAGCATTTTATTCTGGGTAATAAAAAAAATAAAATAAAATGGATACCTGTTTTCCACTGCTAAAACTGAAGCACCACTGTGTGAGAGCAACAGGAGAAAGAAACCAACCAACGGAGAGGAGAGAGAGAGAAAGGAGCGCGCGCGAGAGAGCCCACTGCTAGCTCACTGAGACAAGGAGACTGACCGGAGAGGAGAGAGAGCACTGAAGGACTGGCTGGCGCCTCACTGGGAAGGCAACTCACCCTGAAATGAGTGGTCAGCTGAGTCCCTGCTCCCCCAGTCAAACAAGCTCGAGAGAAGGGCCTTAAGCAGGTTTCACTTCATTCCATACTTCTCTTTGCGAGCAGGGCATTACTTTTCAGAGCAGATGGGGAGAGGAAAACCCTCATCTCAGAGTTGTTCTCGTTTTAAAGGGGTACTATATTTTAGCAGTAACTGTTTACATTTTAGAAGCAGAGTATCTGAGAGAGAGAGAGAGTTCCTGACTTAAGTGACAGCAAGCCAAGCAGAAATCCAGCGGAACATAGCTGATGCTCAACTCTGAGATGCAGGTTTTGTTGTCCAACGCTGGCTCTGAAATCCTAGTGTCATCGTGTCGCCCACATTCTGAACGGGTCTTTCGTGACAAGGTGGTTTTAAAGAGATTCTTTCAAAGGAGCACTGAATTTTTAGAAGTTTGTCTCTGAATTCTTAGTGGTGGACCTGGGAGATCCTTGTTCTGAGAAGCTTACAAAAAGTTTAAAACAAAACTAAATTAGAGCACCAACCTTGAGAACTTTCAGTGTGATTTAAAGTTGCAGCAATCAGCCTCTTCTTCCTACATTGGATAGCAGTTAGAGTGAAAGGAGCCTGCGCGCTCGAGCAGGAGGAGGGTTTCAAAGTGTTTTCTGTATGCTTTAATTGGCTACTGTCTGGACTCTACTCTGTGAAAAACAAGCCTTTCTGTAAGATGAACTTTGCGCTTGAAAGGGGATGGGTTCCTGTGCCCTTCGGCCCTGGAGGAAAAGATGCTAACAGGCCTGCTTTACTCACTCCCTCAGATCTGGGGAAGAAGTAGTGGAAACTGGGGATTATATTGGTTTTGAAGTAAAGACTCTACAATGTTACTGAAGCAGGCTGGAAAAATGGACAAAGCAGGCAGTTGTTGGAAGGTGGCCTCTGATAGCTGGGTATAATTAGAGATAATGGGTTAGGCTTTTGTGTGGCTTCTTCGGTGATTAATGCAGATAGCTGAAAGATTCAGGTGTTGAAAACCAAACCCGGAGCCTATTTTTCAGGTAGTGACACAGCTGTGCCATCAATGCTGGCTTGAGAAATAGCTGGAAGTCAAAACTGAAAACAGCACATAAGAGAAGCCATCCAATTTCTAAGTTGTACCCATGTCTTAAATAAGTCATATGGGAACACTGGGAGCATTTTATTTCTGTCTAAACCTTTTTAGAAACAGCGCAGAGAATTTAAAATTCCTACAGACCCATTTTTATCAGATCCCTAAATTAGACTAACCTCTACCTCCTAATTGGCAAAGAACAGTAGAGTGTGATTCACTAACCTAGGTGTTTTTAAAGTTTGAATTAAGTTAGCTTTATACTCAAAGGGCTCCAAGTGTTTCTAGTCTTTTTTTTGGGGGAACTCAAAATACCTCTCATATGAATGTACTTAAATGATGTAAAACCCACTTTTTGTAACTGGGGGGGAAAGCCCTTTCATTACTGTCCTTTCTGTAGATTGTTGACCCGCTTTCATAACCTGTATTTGCTGTAGTTTTTCAAGAGTGTCTCTCCCCCAGTGCAGACCTGGTGTAGCATACCCACAAACCGTGAGTAGTGTGCACATAAACATGGAACAGGTGTTCAAAATTTTTGTTCAGTCCTGCAGTGAACATAGTTCAAGAACTGCAAAAGAAACTTTCCAGAAATGAAAACCATTCTTTTCTCATAAAAAGCCTCCAGAGTTTAGACTTCTAAAATGTGAAAGAATGGAGACACAGGCCACCTTCCTTCCTTGTAAGATGGACTGTTTTATTTATTAACATTGCCGAAGGGCTTTTTAATTTTTTTCCTTCTGTAGGCTGCGTAGTTGCATAGACTCTTCTGATAGGTTTAAGCTGTAACCCTCTGTGCAATGCAATCCATTGAGTAATGTAACCCCCCTCCTCTCCCCTCACCCCTTTATTTCACTGATGGGAATGCTTGCCTCTGCTTTGTGCTGGTTTTTTCCTTTGTAGCAGTTACTCTGAGTTTTATAAATCCAGACATCAGTGCTAGCACGGTGTTACTCTTTTTTGATTTTGTCTCAGTTTGTTTTAAACCTGTTTGTCATCAATAAAAATATTAATAAACAGCTCTTGCATTCAAGGTGGCCCCTAACTTTCAATGATGAAACCATGCAACACTCATTAAAACTTAGTCTGATTGTATAAACTTCAAGTTTATTACTTTTTTTTAAACACAGACTAGTACAAAAGTGTGGTGTGTGCATAGCATACATGGGTAAGCAAATGAACTGTGAAAACTCTGTTAAATACCCTACCCCTCTTCCCTCCTCTGGCTCAAAGGGGACCACAAGGAGCCCCATGGTGGTGGTCTGTGCCCATGTGTGTGGGGTGCAGGGGGGGAGCTGCAGGAGTTACAGAGGGCTGGTTCTAGAGGTGACCAGTCCAGCCTGGAAGATCTCTACTCACTCCTGCCTCCCCTGTGCTGCAGTAAACACAAAAATGGCTTTTACCTCTGTTACAGGCAGTTGCTCAGCAAAGCTCGGCCTGGCTCCAGTCACGGCTCAGTGTCTGCTGAAATGCAGCTTCAGCATTTAGGGCTGGTCTTGGCACTGCCCTGGCTATAAGCTGATTACAGCTACTTCAGGGCTGTCACTGCTGTAACTCACCTCCTCACACCACTCCCCAGAGTATCAGTGCTTGGACAGCATGATGGAGGCAGGCAATTGCCCTCCATGATGTTGGAGAACCAGGTAAGGAGTGAGACTGACTCACTGGATGTTAAATGAGCTGAGCCCTTAATCTGCCACAGCACAGGCACAACAAAACCTAATACTTAAGGGTTTTCTTAATCCTGCTCATCTTAAATTTGAAAGAAATGGCTCCTGCTTGCTTTAGTTAAGTCAGTCCTACTCTAAGCCCTTAAAACATTTGAGTGCTTGAAATGGGTTTCAGCATAGCTCTTGTTCAGCTGCTGGAGTAAAGCAGGGCTGACCTGCCCTGGAGCTCTCTGCTAGTCCATGGCACTGTCAAGAAACACATTTGGACCTGAAAACATTAGTACACTACACAACTAAAGTACTTGAGCTACTCCAGTCCTGGTCATCAGCTACACAGTTCAAGGGTGTTAGCAAAAACACTGTCACAGGGGATGGGAAGACATTTCCTCTGCAAACCCAACAGTGGTTAAACCTTCAGTGCTTCCCTGGAGGGAGAAGGCCCAGCTTAGCTTGGTAATACTTCATCAGACCTTGACAATACAACATCAGTACAAAAACAAACAAAAGTAATCTATGCTATGGTGTCAGGTTCACATTTTTAAAAAAAGATGACAAAAGATTCAAGTCTAACTCAGATTCCTTTTCAGGAAAAAAAAAAAGAAGCAAAGCTGCAGCTGTGTCAGGAAAGCCTCACCTGGAAGGGCTGGTGCTAAACCTCAGCCCAGGGCCCCACATGCAGCTGTGTTGGCTGTTTAACACAGGCCAGCACAACACAGGGAACAGCTTTAAACCTCTAGCTGCAATCAGAGTTCACAGCCCACATGCTGGAAGGTGGAAGAAAAGCAACTCCTCCATCAGTGATCACTGTTGCTCAGACAAGGTGGTGCAAAGCTGGGTCCCTGCTGCACAGCACTGCTCTGCTAGCTCATTAGTGGCCTTATCAGTAAGAGCACAGTCACACTATTGCAATGGGCTGGATACCACAGCCCACAAAACAAACAAACAAACAAAAAAAAACAACCACAAACAACCAAACCCTAAAATGCACAACCATGTGAATGTGCCTGATGTATCGGGGCTGTAACACTGCTGCGCTGTGCCGAGCCGCCGTTGCCTGATGCTCGGCTGCCATCTGGCTCCAGCCGTGGTTCAGGCCAGTGAGCAGGGACATTCACACACAGCGCCCTGGTCTCATCAATTTGCAAATGAAGTAAATAAACTAACTACTGACTCACAAGCGGACTGGGAGGGAACAAGATGCCACCGACTCCACTGCACCACATCCCCCTGCTTTACCCTTTTTTCATCAGCCAAAAAACATCTGTCACGCAGCAACCTGCCCCTCGGTCTGCAGCTCCCAGGGGGCTGCATTTGGCCACCCAGCACCTCTGAGTCACCTACACCCCCACCCCAAACCACCCCATCACCAACCACACAATAAAAAAAATAGCTCAGGCCTGAGTTCCTACAGCGAAAGAGAAACCCGCGCACCTCCAGGCTCTGCCTCCCCCGTGGGAAAGGATTCAGTCACACAGAGCCGCAGCGATGCGGCTTGTGCCGTGACACCATACCTCTTCCTGCAGCAGGACCGGAGCCACCGCGTCACCTCCTCCCAGCACGGCCGCGCTGCAGCCTAAATCCTGCACCCAAGCAGCAGGGAACCACCAGCATCATTTCACAAAAAAAAAAAAAAAAAAAAAAAAAAAAAAAAAATTTAAAAAATCATTTTTTTTTGCACAGAGAAAGCTGCAGCATTTAGCCAAAAAGCCTAAAAAGCACAAGCCCCACTGCTGCTCTCCTGAGCGGGTGCCTCGCTGGCACCAGCAGCAGCTTGGCCAAGCACGAGAGGGGTCTGGGATTCACAACCTGGTGCTGCCATCGCCCGTGGAGAATGGAAGAGACAACCAGCATCAGACTGGATCATAATCCCGTGAATAGTCTGCTGGCTGCAGCAGACAGCTGCTTGGAGGGCTGAGCACCCAGCTATTACTAAATCACAACTCCAGTAACCATCCCTTCGTGCCAGACCTCCACCCTGGAGAAGGGCAGCCCAGGGTGGGCTCCGACACTCCACGCACCACCGGGAAACTCCCTGAACACCAGCACAGAGGGGATTTAACACGCTTGGATTTATTCCATCAATCATTCAACATTTCAGACGGGACCCCACGGCACACGCTCCCCCAGCCGCTCCGCTATCTGCAGCCGCACTCGTCCACCACCATGTCCTCATAGTGCCTCAGCACCACGTTGTCGTTGTTATCGTAGTAGAGGATGGAGATCGGGGACAGCCTGACGGGGACGCAGCAGGGCTGGGGGGTCCCCTCCGGGTCCAGCGAGTGCACCATGGTTTGGAGGATGGCGTGGTTGGTGCTGTTCAGCTCCGCCGTCAGGGGAAAGGGACATTCGCCCAGGCAGTAATTAGCCATGTAGCCCTGCGGGGCAATGATCCAGTTCTCCCAACCAACGTCGCTGAAGCTGATGTAAAGCCGCCGGGGCTTGCAGAGGTTGCTCGGAGTGACGGGGGTGTAGTGAGCGCTTCTCCTCCTCCTGGAAGCCTTGCACTGCTGCTGGCTGAGGGTCACCACCAGGAGAGAGGTGTCCAGGAAGGAGTCGATGCTGGTGCAGAGGTTCTGCGGCCCCCCACTCGCCGGGGCTGATGCACCATCGCCGCCGCTCACCGCGATCTCCAGGATCAAGCCCAGATTCCTGCTGCGCGTTCTCCAGTCCTTCGCCACCCCGCTCAGGTTGAAGAGGAGAGACTTGTGCAGCTGGGCGAAGGACTGCTCCACCAGCAGCTTTCGGCCGTTCTCGTGGGAGGCCATCCCCCGTAGAGACATCTGGGAGGTTTGGTAGAGCCTCAGCTCAAAAACCTGCCCCTGGCTGGAGGTGTGGTAGGAGTTGTGACTGAATTTGATCTCGAGCCGAGCCATGGTCAAGCGCTCGCCCTCCTCCAGCACGGAGAGGTTAAAGTACAGACGCTTCTGCAGACACAGCAACCTCTGGGGCTGCCCGTTATGAATGAAGTGGCCTGACAAAGAAGGAGAAATAGAGGTGGTGGTCGTTGAACCCTGTTACGCTGAGCGGGATTCAGCCTCCCAGCGCTCCGACTTAAGCTCCTGGCTGCATGGCAAGAGGAAGATGGGGCTGACAGAGGCAGGCAGCCAAGCACGCCTGCAGTCGTTGGATCAAGATGACAAAGCTGCAGTAAGGGCTATCAGCCCAATGGCACAAATGCTAGCCCGGGCTCCAGCCTGCGGCACTGGGACACTACAGCCATTCCAGCATCTCCTCTATTTAACATCTTGGTGCATTATTTTTCCCCAGCTATAAATATCTCCCCCCCCAGGACAGGGGGGGTTGTTGTGGGCACTGGCTGTTTGGGATGGAGGGGAAATGAAGGCAAATAGCAGCAGACTTTAGGAACTGGTAAGCTGCCCATTTTAGCCAGCCCGAGGTTTCCATTGGAAACCTGGAAACACAAGAGAAGCGAGCTCCGTGGTGTCTCAAGACCTAGAGGACACTGACCAAACAGTTCCCAAGTAACTGAGAACGGCTCAGAGAGGCCACAGGCTGAAGCAGCCAGATGTGCCGCATGGTCAGCCAGAGGCATGAGGACAATAAGGAGGAGGGGGGGACACACACAGCCAAATGGCCGAGCATCCCATCGCTGCCCCAAGCTGGGTGCTGGTCTCACTCGCTGCACCCACAGCCCCAGCGGATGGAGGAGCCACGTTACCACTGCCCAGGTGAGGAGTCACCTCCACTGCCGGGAGCCCAAAGGGTCAAGCCAGTCACACAGGATCAAACCGGCATCTCCAGACTGTTAGGTGACTCCAGGACAGAGCCTTACACAGCTCCACACCCTCACCGGCTACCTTGTCTACTGACTCATTTCTAAACCGTAAATAATTATCTACAACATCCAAAGGGACAAGCGTTTACACAGCAGTGATTTCTCCCGGAGACCAATTCTGGGCACTGCCCTGTCTTCCCCCAGCCTCTCCTACCTACACCCAAGAGACAGAAAAGGAAGGACTGGAGCAAAGCCTCCCAGCCCAGAGATCAGAGGGGCTTCCAAAAGACAGGACCCAAACCACGGCGTTTCTGTACCTTGGTCAGCGAAGACACGGATGATGTTCCCAGGGACATTAAATTCCTCCACCCTACAGGCATCCACCAGGTCCTTGTTTGTAGAAGGCAGCGTCTTTCTCTTCTGGAAGATCCGCCAGAGCACAGACGGCACAGGAACGGGGGTTTTTGGGCTGGGCTTGGCGCTCAAACCCAAGGATTTTAAGAGTAAACTTTCCTGCAAACTTAACTCCATCCCCAGAACCATGCTAAGGAGAGCCCAGGCGAGGCTGGCTTTAAAGCTGGGGAGAAGCTGCATTGCTCTGCTCTCCTTCCTGCAGACAAAGAGCAGCCTGGGCTGGGGACCTGAAGACAGGGGCCAGGGGGTGTTGATTGCCTGATTGGAGCCTTTGATCTAGTTAGTGCTCAATTAGCCCAGAGGGATTCCCAGGATTGGGCAGAGGGTGTGAATGGTCCCTCCAGGCTTCCCAGGACCTGTTAACCCTTTGAGGCTGCATGGCAGGAGGGCAGCTGCTCTCCTCTCTCAGAGCTCCTACAATTTCTCCCACATCTCCACACCATCAAGGTCCAACCACAGTCCTTGGTGGCAGGGAAGAGGCTGTTCTTCCCCACACAAAGCTGCTGGCAAGTCCAGCGCTGCTCCCATCCACTGTGGACATCCCGCCCAGATCCAGGAGGCGGCACTGACCAGGATCTCCTCTTGCTCCCTCCTCCCAAATCTGCTTTTTTTCCCTCCCCAATCACAGCATCCAACACCTCTCTCTTTAAGGCCATCAACTTCCAGCACCCCAAATCTTCACTCAGCTCCCTGTCGCACACACCACCCTGCCCACAAGACACGCAGCCCCAGGGCCAGCACGAAAAAGACATCAGCACGCACCCCCAGCACAGGGTCCCTGCCCCAGCCAGGCAGAGGGAACTCCATGGTCTCCCCCTTTGCACAGCCCCTTTCTAGCCATCACAGCAAAACTGCAGGCAGCATATCCGACGTTACACGCACACAATACTGGCCAACGGGTTACCCAGCTAAATGTTGAAGCCTGGGCAAGTTGGTACTATAAAATTCAGTTTACCCCCACACGTGCTGACTAGGTACTGCCATTACCCCAACTCGGCACCATCGCTGCCCCAACTTTCCTATGACCGAGCAGAAAGAGGCCTGGGATATCAGTTCCCTTCATTTCCTTCTTCCTGCAAATCCCGCTTGAAAGCCAAGGAACTAAAGCACTGAGATGCACCCCTCTGAAACCCTGCTAGGTGATGACAAGTGAGAAGGTGACAGATCCTACCCCAGCTTGGGACAGTTTCCATCAGCCCAAGTCACGTTTTGCTTTCTGTTTACCAAGGAACTTTCCCTGGGGCTCTCACAAGGAGCCTGGAGTTGAATCAATATGACAGACCAAACAAGGGGAAAAAAAAAAACAAACAAACCACCAAACCAAACAATTAACCACCCTCTGATGCCTGGAATTAATGCCCTGAATCCCCCACCTCCACTGCCTGTTGTTCCCAGCTGGGACAGAGCTCCACGTCCCAGGGAGGACCCAGGAGCTGTGGGTCCTGGCCCTGCGAGAGAAGAGCTGCAAGGCTTAGGGTTGGTGCTGCCTGGAAAACCAACACGGGGAGCAGATACTATTTGTTCTTTACTTGAGCAAGCAGACATTGCTGGGTGAGAGTCTAGAGATCCCTCAGCAAGGGACCCTGCAGGTCTGGGACTGGCTTTTTAAGCAGTTGTAAGACTTACATAGGCTTTTTAAGCAATTTAAATTGCCTGGCCCTCATCCTGCAGGACAAGAGGCTGGAATAATGCTCCAGGGCTGGGTTTCCAGGCAGACCTGCACATAGGAACCGTGCTGTGCCTCCAGCTATCTGTGGGCAGCTCCATATTAGTGATTCCTCCTGAGGAGGAAGGCTCAGAGGTGCACTGCATCACCTCTCTAGTCCCTGCTTGGCAGCTAGAGAAGAGCTGGCTTTGGGCTCCCCTCGCCTGGGACGGCGATGCCAATGGAAGAGAGGATGTTTCCCACCCCGGTTTGATGCTGGGTCCGAGGACCCTTCAAGGGCCTGAGGAAGGGTCGGTGAGAGGGTCCAACGGTAAAGACAGGGGAAATCACAAAGGGACTGAGAGTAGCCGAGGGATGGAGTGACAGAAGAAACACCAGGGGACCTAAAGCCAGCTCCAAATCCTACCTGGACCAGCAAAGCCACCAGCCTCTCAACTGAACCAGCACGGACTGGCTGCAGAAAGCACATCAGCATCAGGTGAAGCCTGGTCACAGGCAAGCCCCAGGAGGGGCCTGATCCTGTCAGTGGCATCTATTCCCCAGCTCCAGGCAGGGGAGGAAGGGGTATCAGGGATGAAGTTCTCCTTGTGCCTTTCATTTGCTGGGTTTGAGTGTAGGGTCCCGGGTCAGTCCCCAGATCCAGCCAGGCTGCCCAGGCTGCAGCAGCCACGCTTCCCTTATAACCGCTTGTCTTTTACAAGTCCATTCTTCAGGTGCATCCTGTGAAAAAGAACACAGCAGACAGTGAGCCTTGGTCTCCACACTGACTCTCCCTCCCTTACTTTCACAGATCACTGCTGAGGTCAGACCTGTCTTGACAGGCTCGCGCAGACAATTTGTCCCCAGTCAGCCAGACCTGCTCTGTGGGATCCAGCACCTTGCCAGACTTGGTGTTCACCACATGAAGTGCAGATGCTGCTCAGAAAGAACAGCCTCAAGCAAAGAGCCAGTCCTACAGAGTGAGCAGGGGAAGGGGTGGGTGAGGATTCACGGGACAGAAAGATGGAGGGACACACCACAATGCCTAGGCATGGAGATACAAAGTCCTTCCCAATACCTGCAGCAATGCTTTATATTCTGTGTCAAGGCATCCTGCTCTTCCATCTTCCAGCCCAGTGGTGAACCCTTTGACAATGGCTCCAGTGCCCTGGGAGCTCTGCCAGCACCCCCTCCCCTAGTCCACAGATACTGTACATGTGTCATCCCCCCCTGCCCACATACCCTTCTTTCAGAGCATTGGGCAGCCGCAGTCCAGCCTCTTTCTTCTTGGCCGTTGTGGTTTTCTTGCCGTCCTCCACGTCATACTCACGCACATCATTCACCTCTTGCATCTGCCCCATCAGCACCTTGGCCACAAACAGGATGATGTACTGTGGGGTGAGAAACACCATCAGCCACAAGCTCCAAGGCTTAGAGCCGTTCCGCCTAACCTACTCACCCCCATTTGCTAAGTGGGAGCTTTCTCTGCTGTCCTCGACCCCAAGAAAGGCAGGGCAGATCTCTCCGGGATGACCAAAGCCCTGGGACGTGGTCAATGACCTGCAACTACTCATAACTGACTTCATCCCCACAGGATGATAAACTCAGATGTTACCCTGCCCTGCCCAGGGTTGAGCCTGCTGACATGAGCCCTCCACGTCCACCCTTTTCACCCCCTTCCCAAAGCTTCAGGGGATGCCAGAGCATTTACACCCACATCAAGTTCCAGCCTGCCCCAATTGCTGTTATCGCTCCCTCTCCACAGACCCCTGGGGTGCGAGACGGTCTGAATTCCAGTGCAGAGCAGCCCCCCCCCCGCCCCGGGCACTGACAGAGGTTTCCCTCCTCCCCTCCAAGCCATCCCCCGAGTCCTCCGAATCCTCCTCCATCCCTGCAGTCCCCCCCAGCTGCCCCCAAGACAAGCAGGGAGCCAGCGCCATGCAGGAGCAGCAGAGGAGGGAGAAGCTAGCGTAGGGGTTGCTGAGCTCCCCCTACTCACCAGAAACCAGTAGATGTTCATCAGAGTGAGGACAAGGAGCAGAGCATTGAAGAAGAAGTAGAAGGGGATATTAGGGACCAACTGGAGGCTGGAGTAGCAAGTGGCGTAGAGCACCTTGAGGGGAAACCAGTAGAGACGGAACCAGAACCTGCCAGGGCAGAGGGAGCAGGGTGGGTTTATCGGCCCACAGGGATCCCAGGAGAGACACGAGACCCAGCGCAGCTTCCCCCAGCACAACCCCCTGCCTGCAGGCAGCCCTCACCAGCTCCCCTTGCACCCGGCAGTCCCTGCTCTTGGCATCTGGCTTGGGTTTACAGGTCTGGCTCTAGACAGGACTTCACACAGACCCCGTGAAAGGGCAGCTATTGAAGGGAGAAAATACAATTCCTATGGGTAGAAAAGGCTTGGCACCAGCGGCAGGGCAGAGAAAGGGCTTTCTCAGGGTAGAGAAGCAGGTCTACGCTGCAGATTACCTCAACTGGATGGGAGACAGGAGGGAAATATAACTGGAAGGTTTTCTTAGTCCCGTGCACCCCTAGTTTATCACTAAAAACCCTTCCCTCAAATTGAGAGCTCTTGTTGCCACCGCTGCTTTTCAGAGCAGCCTGCGGAGAGGGTGGAAGGAAAGAAAGGAACAAGTGAGGAGCGACAACCTGCGAGTTACCCATCTCTATTCTTCATCTTTGTTTTCCTCCAGCCTTGCCCTGAGAGGAACAGCAAAGCTGGAATCTGGGACAGCCCTAAGTCCTGTTTTCTTCTTGCAAAAGTGCTTCTTACTGCTAAAACCAAGCGAGTGGGAAAATGGAAACAGGTCCTCCTCCCCTGGGGTCATTTGTCATGCTGCAAGTGAGATTTCACAGGCACTTCTGTGGTGACAGACGGCACAGTGACTACAGAAGGATTCCAAGCCCAGCATGGGGTCAGGCTCTGCGGGAACCTCTTCCCAAATAGTTTTTGAAAGGGCTGGTTCCCATGCACACAAACCCAGCCGGCTGTACCCCGAGGCACCAGGGGGATTGCAAAAGCTGGCAAGGACAGATGGAAGTGGGATCAGGCAAACTCACCAGCTGACGCTGAAGGTGAGGCAGCCAATGTTGGAGATGATGTCGTTGAGGCGATGATAGACTCCCCCCCGGTGCTTGAAGTAGACGTTGAGCTTGGTGAATTCCAGCTGCACGTCATTGACGTCGTGCAGGAAGAGCACGAGGATGCCCACGTTGTGGTACCTGTAGGACAAAGGGGAGCAGGGAGGGAGACGTGTGGGGGTTGATGTTAGCACCCAACACCCATGGTCCATCACACTGGGAGCAGACAGATTCCCTGAATAATCCAGACAACCAGACCTGGTAGCAGGGTGGGTCTGGCACTGGGCAATGGCTCATAAGCACTGGGATTGCTGCAATAGCATAGAGGCAGGGGAGAATCCACACCAACCCAGCAAGAGTCCTCCTGCTACATGCCCGTGAGATGCACGTGAGCACAGAA